ACTGCCTAATTCTGACGGAAGAGGGGTCAGTGTATTCGTGCGGCAACAATGAACTAGGGCAGCTCGGACACAACAATATCACCAGAAAGCCAGGTCGGTCTGCCTTTTTTTTATAAGGGCACAATTCTTCATGTTGAGGAATAGAAGAGTTTGCCTTTTATTTCTGGGTCGTGGGTGGGTGACATCTCTGTTATGCCTGGTTTTTTCTTAGTTTTCTTATTTTGTTTGAGAGCAAATTTATTGTAGTTTTCCTTGGGTCTTGTATGCGTAGTCATTATATTTGTCTCATCATTTATAACAATTTATTTACTGCATATCTTCCCAAAGGTTAGAATAAAATATGAAAGGGAACATTAGTAATATAGCTTTGGATGCTTTTGAGTGTTGACTCTGAAGATGGTCACTCATGCAATTTGTTTTAGTAGTAGTGATAATAATGATAATAATGTAATAATAGTGAATATTACATTTTCCTGACAGCATTTGGTTAGTGTTCACGTCCCATTTTAAAAGTGTTCTTGTATCTCATCATTACTTCACTGTCCTGATTCTGCATGGTTTGACATTTTGTTAACTCATTTGCAGTTTCATTTACTGTCCATAGTATTTTTTTGTGAAACAATATCAGGATAGGATAACATTGATCAAAGTAAGGGCAGTTATTGTAATATTGAGTTCTGTGTTTTTTTTTGGGGGGGGCAGGAAGTGAGTATCCAGTAATTGTATTTGTTATTATTTATCCTTTTTTATCTTCACCCAATGCCTTAGGACTGAGTTAATACTTCTGTTAATATCCCTGAGTACAGATGTAAAACAAGTCTTGACCTTGGTCTGGCCCTTCTGTAATGCCAACTCCAGTCTGTGTTTTTGTTATTATTATTGTTATTATTTTTTATTTTTATTTATTTATCTATTTATTTATTTATTCATTTTATTTTTTTAATTATTTATTTATTTTTTTTTTTTTACCAATAACAACAGTCTTTTAAGAGTAGACTTTTTAGTTTCTAAAGATATCCACATGGAAGGGCTGGCTAACTGTTATGCACTCTAGTATTTTGAACTTGATTTTTGACATGCCAAATGGTTGTTGAAATTATTTTGTGTACTTGAATTTAGAGAGGAGGTAGTAGAAATCAAGTAATATTTAGCAGAAGAGATACATTGTCTGTACAAGTTTCTTTGCTTAAGGGAATAAATTTGCATGAAATTTAGCAGATGAGGTGTCATGTATATATATTATGATCCTCTAGATTTTTAGTCTTAAGGATTTGATATTTGTCTTTTACCTGAAAATGTAATTATTATTTTATACATTAATTAATCGTTGCTTTTGTTGCGTAAAGGAAAATTGTTATCCTATTCTTTTCATTTGTGTTTGTTGCTTTTTCTTTTGTTATTTTGAGGATTCAGTTCCTTATTTCTGTTATTTTTTTTATTTTTATATTTTTTATTTTTTTGTTATATATGCTTTTACCTCACTGCAATTTAAATTATATTCAATTTCTCTGTTGAAAGATAATGACTAGAATTCGCCTATGAAATAATGTGATTCTCCATGAAAGACTCACTTGCAAAGCATCGTTCCCCAACAGAGCTCGTTGACAACCTAGAAAACTACAGCATAGTGCAAGTCGCTGCCGGTGACCAGCACTCGATCGCTCTCACGTCATGGGGCTTGGTAGGTAACTCACGAGAGGAGATTGGAGGGGTTGATGCTATTGGGGTTGCTGTTTGGATGAATATGTTGTCTTCCCTTCTCCCACCTCTGTCTGTCTGTCTCTGGTTCTGTTTGTCTCTCTCTGTCTCTCTGTCTCTCTGTCTCTCTGTCTCTCTGTCTCTCTGTCTCTCTGTCTCTCTGTCTCTCTGTCTCTCTGTCTCTGTCTCTGTCTCTGTCTCTGTCTCTGTCTCTGTCTCTGTCTCTGTCTCTCTCTCTCTCTCTCTCTCTCTCTCTCTCTCTCTCTCTCTCTCTCTCTCTCTCTCTCTCTCTCTCTCTCTCTCTCTCTCTCTCTCTCTCTCTCTCTCTCTCTCTCTTCCCTCTCAGCTTCCAATTATCCCTCACCCTCAATCTTCCTGCCTCCCTTCCCCCTCTCCTCCTTTTTCTCTTTCCCCTCTCCATTCTCTCCCCCTCCCTATACCCCTTCACTCTTCATTCCCCCCTCCCATTCCCTCTCCCTTCCCTCTCCCCCGATGACTCTTTCTGTCCTGAGGGCTCTGCTGTTTCATCTTGTTATTGCTGCTTTTTCACAATGCTAATCTGCTTATTTCTCTAATTTGTTTTGGGTGCTGGAAATAGTGGGGCGGGGGGGACTGTTCACCTCTTTTTTTTATTTGTGCTCTGAATTCCTCCTAACACATTGACATTATTTGCATTCGCATAATTAGTCCTGATTTGAAGGAATGTTGTTGTTGATGCTTTTGCATATTGTTTATAGTGCATTTCTTTTTCCTCTTTTCTGTTTCCTTTTTTTATTTATTTATTTATTCTTTATTATTTTACCGTGTCTTTTGAAAGAACTGTAGAAGGATGGGTATTTTGATAGAATGTGTAAATAGATCAAGTAGCATTTTGTATTTTAATCAGATAAACTTGATATCCACAAATATATCCTAGTCAAGTACATATTGCATGTAGGTGGATATTTGCATTGAAATTTGCATAGAACGCTCCTATGGAATTATCAGAAAACAGTAGAAATAAGTTCTTAGAAGGGGTTGTAGTATTTGTATGTGCATAAGTGTGGGTGTGTGTGTGAGTGTAGGTGTGGATGTGGGTGTGGATGTGTGGGTGGGTGAGGGCGTGAGTGGGTAGATGGGAGGTTGTGAGTGGGTATGCTATTCCTTCTGAGTGCTCTGATTTTATTATCAGAAATGCCTGTTATATGTTTTTGTTATTGATATTTATTTTTGTTTTCAGACTAACTCAAAATTAAATCTGACTTTGTAGTTGGCTCATATTTTTTTCATGCTTAACAGCTTTGGAGTGTTCACTTCTGTTCCTACACTGTTTTTGTTTTTCTAGCATTTTCTACCAAAGAAGATTCATCACATTTCAAATGGTAAATGATGCTGTAGTTATAAAAAAGAGGTATATTCACAAGTTAAGTTGCGAAAAAAAATGAACACATACAGTTGCTCCCACTGTTTTCTGCATATTTCAGAACATTAACCTAAACCTACAGTTCATATATAGAGATAAGTTGGCATGACATGACTATCTTCATCCATAGATTTACGCTTGGGGTGAGAATGGCTTTGGCCAGCTGGGTCTGAATTCAACTGAGCCGCACACTTCCGTCCCAAAGCTGGTGAAGAGTCTGGCGCGCAAACAGGTGATCCAGGTGGCCTGTGGATCCAGTCACACACTGGCTCTCACTTCAGGTATGGCTTCAGAGTATGGTCTTCATCCTTTGGGGTTTATAGAAGAATTTTATTCATGATTTAATGATGCTGCACTGTATTGCCTTATTTTATGCTTGGGAGGTTTACAGAACTTATAAAATATAAATTAAGTATTTTTGAGCTTGACATCACTATTTTTATTATTAATGTGGTAAATAATAATTATGAAATTTAAAACCATTGATAATTATTTCAAAGGTCTAACTGTCCTGCATAAAAACATCCCAATAATCAGCAGTTTCTCGTGGAAAATCAAAAATGATGGTCCTCTGTTGCACTTGTATTTAAACTTTCCTTTGTTGGGCAGGTGGGGAGCTCTATGCCTGGGGCTCCAACTTATCAGGTCAGCTGGGACTCGGCCACAGGGAAGGACCCCAGAAGGACCCCATCCTAATCAAGGCCCTGCTAGGAGTCCCCCTGGTGCACATCACGGCCGGTGGGCAGCATTCAGCCGCGCTCACCCAGGCTGGCTTCCTTCTCACTTGGGGTTCCAACAAGTACGGTCAGCTGGGATTCTCCTCCAACAAGGATGACTTGTATTGGTGAGTGGTACTCTAGGCTGACCATTCTAGGCCCTTGGTGAAGCCTTACTCTTGTGAAGTATTAGAGTGAGGTGTTGAAAATTATTATTAATATTTTGATGAGCAGTCCCCCAGGTTGGCCCTAGCATGTGCCACTCAAACAGCTTTTGCTTTAACTTATACCAAGTAACAAAGTAAGTATCATTATCATTTTCATTATTTTTATTATTATTTATTATTATTTGTCTTTCTTTCCCTTTTCTTTTTTTCCATCTTAAGACTGTCGTCACACCCACTTGATATCATTGTAGCATTGTATTCTCTTACATTTCCTGATCCTGGGAGTGTGTCAGAAGCTGACTCATGCTTGAATGACTGTTGAAAACGACTTTTACACATAGATGACTAAACTTGTACTAAGTTACCAGTGAGACAATTACGAGTTACTAAGTCACCAGTGAAACAATTACGAGTACTGCCTGTCTCGCCCGTTCACCCTTTTCATTGATTTACGAAAATATTTAACGTTATCCTAATTTGCCATTAAAAATAACACCATCTATATTTATAGAGATATTTCACAAAAATATGAAAAATGTACAGCATTTTCCCCAGTGGCAATGGGTTAATTGAAATAGTATGAATGAGTGATTGATTTTTTTTTAGAGTATAACAGTTTTTTTTTCTAGTTCCAGTGCATACTGAAAACTTGATTCATATTATGACATATCAGTGGTTTGGGCTTTGACACATGTATATTTTACATTATATATATTTCTTCAATGTTCTTTTTTTTCTCTTCTTTCCAGTAATGTACCAACACCTGTACCCAATCTAGCCACGTACTCAGAACCTTTACGTTATGTATCGGTGGGAGAGGGACACACTGCGGTTCTTGATGCACACGGCAAAGTATGTTGGTGTACTAAGTAATTTTTTAGAATTTCATACTTCGATAAGATATTTCAGATGCATATGAAAGAAAATGAAAAATATGATAAGAGATATATGATAAGAGTAAAAATGAAATATGATAAGGTGTGTGAAGGCTATCTGCCTCTTGTAGTCATCATCTTA